TTTGTAGGATGAAAACTGTAAGTACTGCACATTTTATATAAAAAAAAAGCCCGTAAATATTGCACAGTTTGTATGAAAAAACTGTAAATATTGCACATTTTTTTAGAAAAAAAATGTAAATATTGTACATTTTTTTAGAAAAAACTCTAAATATTACACATTTTATATTAAAAAACTGTAAATATTATACATTTTATGATTAAAAAAAAACTAGAAATATTGCACATTTGAAGGATAAAAAAACTGTAAATATTCCACAGTTTTGGGCTAAAATATGAACATATTGCACATTTGTAAGATAAAAAATTTAAATATTGCAATTTTTTAGAATAAAAAATTTAAATATTGTACATTTGTAGGATAGAAAATGTAAATATTGTACAATTGTAGGATAAAAAACTTGATATTGCACATTTGTAAGATGAAAAATGTAAACATTGCACATTTTAGATAAAAAAACTGTAAATATTGTGCGTCGTTGGATTACAAAAATGTAAATATTGCACATTTGTTGGATACAAATGTAAATATTACCCATTTCATATTTAAACTGTAACTATTGAACATTTTTAAGCTAAAAAACTTTAAATATTACACGTAGTAGAATAAAAACTGTAAATATTATACATTTTATTATAAAAAAAACTGTAAATATTGCATATTGTAGGATAAAAAAATTTCAATATTGCACATTTTATATTAAAAAAATGTAAATGTTGCACATTTCTAAGGTACAAAACTTCAAATATGACACAATGTAGAGTAAGAACTGTAAATATTACACTTTTTATGATAAAAAAAAAGCTGTACATGTGAACCCTCTCCTGGTTTTGTTCTGGTTCTGGACTCCAGTAAACATCTCCTCCTTTTCTTCCTTCTGGTCGCTAGGCAACGGGACCGGGTGTGCTCGGAGAACTCCAGCAGCCAATCGAGTAACAGCGTTTCCAGCGTGAAGGCGGCGCCCGGCATGGCGCCTAGCAACGCCTACAAGCTCACGCAGAAGGAGAAAAAAGAGCCGCCCGGCTCCGCCCACCTGAGCCCGGAGGGGCGGGGCTCCCCGGGCGGGGAGGGGGGGGGGCGCGGGGGGGCGGGGCTCCTCCAATGGGGGCGGGGCCAGCTACGGCCAGCCAATGGGAGTCGACTGGACCAAGCCCAGCCCGGCGGACGCCGTGCGGTCCAACATGGCCGCCGCCTCCTCCAAGTTTCAGGCTCTGGGGCTCTACGACAAGCCCAGCATGTTCCACGGAAGCCCCGCCCCCTTAAAGGGCCAGAGCCCCGCCCACTTAAAGGGCCAGAGCCCCTCCCACCTTAATACCCAGAGCCCCACCCACTTTATGGGCCAAAGCCCCGCCCACTTAAAGGGCCAGAGTCCCTCTTACCTTAATACCCAGAGTCCCTCTCACCTTAATACCCAGAGTCCCTCTCATCTTAATACCCAGAGCCCCGCCCACTTAAAGGGCCAAAGCCCCGGCCACCTTAATACCCAGAGCCCCGCCCACTTTATGGGCCAAAGCCCCGCCCACCTTAAGGCCCCGCCCACCTCCAGCCAGTTCCTCAACAAGCTCTCGGACTTCTTCCAGCCGCCGACCTCCAAAGACCGAGACTCCTACAGCTTCCGGAGGACGCCGCCCCCCTACGGCGCCCCCTGGGGGCTCGCCGACCACGCCCCCCCCGAGCCCAACGGCGAGCGGAGCCCGCCGCCGCCGTCGTCCCCGGCAACGGCGGCGGCCATCAGCCGGCAGGACCACAAGCGCATGACGCTGGGACACAGCAAGCTGGACCTGGTCAACCAGTACAACAAGATGAAATCCAAGCAGGTCTACAGCCGCTTCGAGCTGAAGAGCTCTGACTAGAGCTCAAAAACTCCAAACTAGAGCTCAAAAACTCCAAACTAGAGCTCGAGAACTCCAAATAGAGCTGGAGAACTTCAACTAGAGCTGAGGAGCTCCAACTAAAGTTGAGGAGCTCCAACTAGAGCTGGAGAGCTCTATATAGAGCTCAAAAACTCCGACTAGAGCTGGAGAACTTGAACTAGACCTAGACAGCTCGAGCTAGAGCTGGAGAACTTCAACTAGAGCTTCAATTACAGCTGAAGAACTCCAACTAGAGCGGGACATCTTCAACTAAAGCTGGTGAGCGCCAACTAGAGCTCAAAAACTCCAACTAGACCTGGAGAACTCCAACTAGAGCTCAAAAACTCCGACTAGAGCTGGAGAGCTCCAGCTAGAGCTGAAGAACTCCAACTACAGCTCCGACTAGAGCTGAGGGAGCTTTAATTAGAGCTGGAAAGCTCCAACTAGAGGTCCAGCTAGAGTTGGAGTGCTCCAACCAGAGCTGAGGATCTCCAACTAGAGCTGGAGCTCATGTAAGAGAAAGAGCAGCATTTTCCCAAAATATGGACATCGTTATTGTCTGTCGTCTTGAGGAGGCTCAGCCCCTAAAACTGTCCTTTTTCTGTATGAACTCGGCTTCTAAAGCTGCTCACAAACCCTGTTTGGACCCAAAATTCAGCAGATTTGGCTGTTTCTGTAGGAAAACAAATCACTAAATATGCTAAATAGACTTTCCTCCTGTTTCTGCATCCTGACCAACACTCTGGTGTAAAATCCCCTTTTTCCCAGAAGCAGAGGTCAGCTTGATAAAAGTTCTGAGTGGAAACAGTCAGAAATCCTTCAGGTTTATTCAGTATCTGCAGAGAAACTAAAAAAAGGGATTTCTGGAGCCAACAAATCTGTGAGGAGCGCTGTCATTTATCTGATCTACACAGGAAGTAGAGGGACAGGATTCCTGAAAAAGGACAGGAACTCTGTGAGAGCAGAGGAAACCGGATCTGGGCTCAGAAAGGAGCCTCAGAGCTCAAAAGGGGGAAATATGGAGGTCTGGGAGCTCCAAGTGTCCATTTTAGGAGCAGAGCTTCATTAAAATGACACAGGGGGTCAAATCACATGATTAATTTTTATTTCATTTCTATTTTTACGTTTACACAAAACTTAATTCTTACATTTTTTTATCTAGAACTTAGATGAGTCGTATTTTCTTGACAAAAAGTTTCTGTTAAAAAATAAGTTATGAAAATTAAATATTGAGATTTCTGTCCTTAACGCTCCAAGACTTTTAACAGCATTTTATTTTGAGTTAAATATACTATCATATGTCTTCTTTATTCATTCTGTATTTATTGTTTGCAGGTTTAAAAACAGGTGAAGTGTTTAGATGTTTACTGTAAAACATTTGGATACCAGTGCTGGTAAAAGGATATCAGGCCCAGTCTGTTTTTTGGATGCACACTGGTAGATAAAATTAATAAAATTAGACGTAGAATTTCTACTAATTTAACTTATTAAGGAGGTCCAGCTCCCTTCTTCCTAACCATGCTTTAAGATATCAGTACATTGGCTAGCTAAACGCTAGCTGAAGTAAGATAACATTAAATAAAGTAAGCTAGCGCTAGCCAAAGTCAGCTAACACTAGCCAAAGTAAGCTAACGTTAGCAATACTAAACTAACATTAGCCAAAGTAAGCTAATGGTGGGAAGTGGTCCATGGAGTATTTCCATAAAATGGAATACACACTAAAGTCTTTTTCTTTTTTTGTGTGGCAAAGATAGACAACTTTCATAAGTTTAAAATATCTCAGGACATCGAAACCCCTTCTTCCAAGAGCGCGTCGAGCTATCGGTATGCTAGCTCAAGTAAGCTAACAGTGATGAATGATCTGCTAGAAAAACATTTTTCTCCTATTTTTGTGACAAAGATAAACGTATTTTGTAATAAGATATGTGACAGACCTGTGACATTTTACAGTTTTTCATTTAAATTTCCTCTCTTTTATAGAAATATGGTGATAAGGGACTTCAAAACGCCAGTCATGTAAAGCGTTAGCATTTTAGGATCTGTTCACATCTTTGGTCTGTGGGGTGGCTTTTCAGTTAAAAAGGAGCCTGTAGATGTTTTACAAACATAAAGAGGGAATGCAGTTATAACAACAATAAGAATAAAAATTTGTAAACACAGATGTGTTTAAATAAAAAAACAAATATTTTAGGAATAAGTCATAAAGAGTTTTTCTGGCTGACAGTTTGTGCCTTGATCATCCTGCCTTACGACTTCCAGCCACTTTGGACAAACTGTGACGTCTCCAGT